ATTCATGGAGTGCCTGGGTAGCTGTCTGTTAGGCATCCAACTCTTGGTTTTGGCTCAAGTCATGATCTCACAGTTTGGGAGTTCGAGCCTCTCATCCTGCTCTGCACTGTCAGCGTGGAGCCTGCTTGGGGTTCTCTCCCTCCCTCTCTCTGCCCCCCCCCCCCCGCTCACGTGTGCATGCAAAAAAGAACTGAATTCAGTACCTTGTGTATGAAATTAGCAGATTTTACCCCAACTGCTAACACCGTGGGGATTTGCACCCCGCTACCCCCACTGCAGCCGCCCATCGACTTGCCCCTTTGTAACCTCCACACGCTACCTTCGTCTGCACCTGTGGCTGGTGGTCACCATGGGGGACAGCACAGCACAGACGGCCTGGCTTGGAGCCCTCCTGCACTGTGCTTCTCTTTGTTCAAATTCCTCTGTTCTCAAAACAAAGTGTGTCTCGAGTCTTCTCCCTCTGGAAGCTACTGGCTTACCCTTCACTTCACGCCACCTCATAAGGGACTCCAGTATGCAGATGCTAGCATCCCTGCAGACTTCCGCATACCCCTGACACTCCCCTGGAAATGCTCTCAAAAGTACTCAAAAGTACTGAGACTTTGGGGTGCCTGGGTAGCTCAGTCGTGGCTCAGGTCGTGATCTCACAGTTCATGGGTTCGAGCCCTGTGTCAGGCTCTGTGCTGACAGCTAGCTCAGAACCTGGAGCCTATCTTTGGATTCTGTATCTCCCTCTCTCTGACCCTCCCCTGCTCATGCTGTCTCTCTCTGACTCTCGAAAATAAATAAAACACATGAAAAATATATTTAAAAAAAAAGTACTGAGACTTTGTGGCCCCCAAAGCCTAAGGATCCCTCTCCATAACCCTATGCTGCTCAGACCTTCCTTTGCCAGCAATGCATGCTGGGATGTGTTGGTGGGTTTCCTCCTACTTCCGTCCCAATTCTTCCTTTTGATCAGACTTAGCTATGTGTTCCTCAAGTGTGTCTCTCTGTTCTGTTCTGTTGTCTCTGGCTGCTAGCTTTTCTCTGTGGCCATCAGCTGGGTCTCTAAGGCCTAAGCCTGACTCTTCTCTGCAATATCAACACCACATTTTCAGCCTTTTTAAAAAGAAGATTTTATTATTATTATATTATTACTATTACTATTATTATGATTATTACTTTATTTTAGAGAAAGAGCACAAGTCAGGGAGAAGGGCAGAGAGAGACAGAAAGAGAATCTTAAATAGACTCCATGTTCGGCACGGAGCCCACCTCAGGGCTCGATCCCATGACCCTGGGACCTGAGCCGAAATCGAAGAGCTGCATGAGCCACCCACCCAGGCACCCCTCGGCTTTTATATTTTTTGACTTTCATATCTTCCTGAATAACTTATTTCGTGTATCATCCCCGCACCTCAAGTGAAATAGGGCCAACCAGAACTCATGGCCATTCTCTTGGGATCCCTGTTTCTCTTAAGGATGCCACCCGCCTCTCCGGACTTGTGACGTCTGCCGCCGGAGCACCGCCTTGCAATACACTGCCACCTCCCACCCGGCTTCTCTAGAACCACTCGGCCCTTCTAGTCTCTTCATCCTAATTGCCACTGTTTCCTTCAGCTGCTCAGTACCTCTTGTCTGATATTATACTAGCTTCCCGGCAGGTCTTTCCAATCTGTCCTGAGGATGACTGCCTAGTGAATCATTCTCAGACTCTTAACCTCTCTGGTGTTTTCCCAGTGCTCGCTACAGAGTCCCACATCCTTAGCCTGGCGCTGCAGGCTGTCCACGGTCTGTGGTCTGTAGGCTGTGGTTTGCGTGGGACTGTGCTCATGCTCCCCTCGCCTCTCCCTGCAGGACTGTGCTCCCTGGCGGGGCCAGTGGAAGGGTGCTTGCAAGTTCGGTACGCGTTTTGTTTCTTTAAAAGGCATCTGTATCCGAGACCTAAACATAACAGCTAAAACTACAAAACTCTTAGAGTGGGCATTTTTTAAAAAATTTATTTATTTTGAGAGAGAGAGAGAGAGAGAGAGAGAGAGAGAGAAAGCGTGAGTGGAGGAGGAGCAGAGAGAAAAGGAGATGGAATCCCAAGCAGGGTCCACACTGTCAGTGAAGACCCCGACGTGGGGCTCAAACCCACCAACTGTGAGATCATGACCTGAGCCGAAGTTGGACATTTAACTGACTGAGCCACCCTGGCGCCCCTAATTAATTAATTTTTAAAATTTACATCCAAGTTAGTTAGCATATAGTGCAACAATGATTTCAGGAGTAGATTCCAGCGATTCATCCCCTGCATGAACCCAGTGCTCATCCCAGCAAGTGTCTTCCTTAATGCCCCTCACCTACTTAGCCCTTCCCCCCTCCCACAACCCCTCCAGCAACCCTCAGTTTGTTCTCGATATTTAGGAGTCTTTTATGTTTTGTCCTGCTCCCTGTTTTTATATTATTTTTGCTTCCCTTCCCTTATGTTCATCTGTTTGTATCTTAAATTCCTCCTATGAGTGAAGTCGTAGGATATTTGTCTTTCTCTGACTAATTTCGCTTCGCATAATACCCTCTAGTTCTATCCACATAGTTGCAAATGGCAAGATTTCATTCTTTTTGATTGCCGAGTAATCAGAGTGGGCATTTTAAAGTTCCTCTTGTATTAGGAAAAAAGTCCTCTAGCCAGTACTGCAGGTAGAGTCTAGAAGAAGCTGTAATTGCACACCCTCTTTCCTTTGCTCACTCTGATTTCTGAACCTGAAAATAAACTGTCCCCTGATTTTCCATGTCTAAATATCCTCTCCATAATCCAGATTTTTCACTGAGCCATCCCTGATTCCTCCAGCCCCCTAGGGCCTGTATCACTTTGTATTTATAGTACGACTGTTTATAGGAGTAACTGGCTACCTCTAGGCTGGAAAGCTTTTATGGGCGGTGATAAGGTCTTAGTTACAAGGGGCAAAGCCAAATATCATAATGATTAACACGTGTTAGATGTCCAATAATAATTCGAATGAGTGGGAGAGGAAATCTATTCATACTTTCATTCTCACGTAACCCTAAATTGCTTAAGAGTAGGATTTGGATCTGATTCATCTTATACCCTTCAGTAGCTCCTAGCATTGTGCTTTGTGCGTGATAGATGCTCCTAGATATTTGTTTCTTTACTTTCTACTTTTTTCAGCTTTATTGAGGTATAATTGACAAAACTATAAGATATTTAAGGTGTGCATGGTGGTGATTTGCTACACATATACCTCACATATATATTTTTTTCAGTGACAACATTTAAGGCCTACCCTAGCAAATTTCCGTTATGCAATAAACATTTCTCGAATTACTGGATAAAGATGCAGTTACGATATGAGCTTTCTGAATGCTGTATTACGACACCTGACTTTGGAATTTAGGCACTCTGACTACAGTGGAGATGTTTCACACTATGATGCTCTTTTTGACAGCCACTGTTAATTTTTGCCAGCGATGATTCTTTACTTTCAACCTTTTCTGCGCTTTTAATTTGGATTTTTAACAAATCATACTGTTGGTAAGGAGTGCCCTCTTAATTTCACAAAGGGAGTTAGAAAAAGGGTTGCTTTTTAGGAAACACGTGCAGGAGCTTTTCCGGGTCGTCAGGTCCTGGCTCTGGGTGCAGGTGGGATTCTTGGGCTAGCAATTATTTCTGCAGTAGTGGTTGGATCGTTCCTTCCAGAGTCCTCGAGACTCCATCCAGGGACACGTAATTTGGATGCTTTCCACAGGAGACAGGGGTGGGCAGCCTTCATTTGAAACACTGGAGCACTGGTGGTTTCTTCACGCCCCGGTTAAGTTGCTGTCCCTCCTTTTGATACTGGGAGGCTAACACTATTGTTGCTGTCACTGTTTGATGGGCGGGGTGGGGGGACTGCCTGCCAGTCTTCTCTGACAGCCTTTCACTATTTAATACCTGGTTATGATTGGCACGTTAATAGGATTTGCTTGTGGTCCGGTTGCCCTGTGCAAACCTAAATGGTAATGAAATTAGAACTGACGGAAAGAGGGGTGCCTGGGTGGCTTAGTCGGTTAGGCGTCTGACTTTCACTTAGGTCATGATCTCGTGGTTCGTGGGTTCGAGCCCCGCGTCGGGCTCTGTGCTGACTGCCAGCTCAGAGCCTGGAGCCTGTTTCAGAGTCTGTGTCTCCCTCTCTCTCTGACCCTCCCCTGCTCACGCTGTCTCTCTCTCTCTCTCCTAGAAATAAATAAAAATATTAAAAAAAAAAAAAAGAACTGACAGAAAGATACAAGCGGTCCTTAGGTGCCTCTGTGATGTCTGCTGCCTGAAGGTGCATTGGTGCTGCTGGGTTTTGTTGCTGATGTTTTAGGGTTTTGTTCTGTTTTTGTCTCTTTTAAAGCCAAATGACAAGAATTACTTTGGTTCAGTGGTTTGGTGGGGAAAAATAACAGATGCCTTTGTGTGTGTGGCTTTGGCGGCATTGTTTAAATTTCCTACGAGAGAGAAATAGTCCTAACCTGCATAAAATGAGCGAGCTAGTTACATGGAGTCCCCAGGTTTGGGAAGTTGCCTGAATCTGGCAATGAATACTTACAGTAGGGTAAGTAGTGTCAGGAAAAGAAGACCAGAGGGTCTAAGGAAAGTCATTTACTCTTAGGAAATGTTACAAATTGGAAGCAAGAGAATTTCTGCAGTGTATTTTGGAAGGACAAGCCAGGGTCCACTGAAATACACAAAACAGGATCAAGACTCCCTCTTTATCAAATACATGGGCAGCATGCACCGCCATGAAGGCATTCCCTTTAGACATGAGCGAAGGATTCACGTAAGAAGCCACCCGAGACGACCCATTTACCTTCAGTGGGGCATTACAAGTGAGAATCCTATAGCCTCACAAGTGGGAAATTTTACACTTTTGACCCAATGTCAAGTCATGTGAACAGCGGTGCACCAGTCCATCAGATGAGCTGACATCTCGGCTTGTTTGAAATCATTAACTTTTGTGCATTTTTTTTCTTTGTTTGTTTGTTTCCTTCAGAAATGAACCCACCCGAGTATGCTCTGTGCCTGTGAGCTACGGGATCACCACCCGACTTCGGAAAGACGCCACGGGAGGCGTGGGGGTTCTGGACTCTGAGAACAACCTCCTTCCCCTTGGCCTTGGCCTTCCTGCGCCCAGCCCACGATGGAGACGCTCTCCCAAGATTCCTTGCTGGAATGTCAGATCTGTTTCAATTACTACAGCCCCCGGCGAAGGCCCAAGTTGCTGGATTGCAAACACACCTGCTGCTCGGTGTGCCTCCGGCAGATGAAGACGAGCCAGAAGGACGTGAGGTGCCCCTGGTGCCGGGGCATCACCAGGCTGCCCCCGGGCTTCTCCGTGTCGCAGCTCCCCGACGACCCCGAGGTCCTCGCGGTCATTGCCATCCCGCACGCGTCCGAGCACACTCCGGTCTTCATCAAACTTCCCAGCAATGGGTGCTACATGCTGCCCCTGCCCATCGCCAAGGAGCGAGCGCTGCTGCCCGGAGACATGGGCTGCCGCCTGCTGCCCGGGAGCCAGCAGAAGTCCGTCACCGTGGTGACCATCCCCGCCGAACAGCAGCCCCTGCAAGGCGGGCCTCCCCAGGAGGCGGCGGAGGAGGAGCCAGACAGGCGGGGTGTGGTCAAAAGCTCTACCTGGTCTGGGGTGTGCACTGTGATCCTGGTGGCCTGCGTCCTGGTCTTCCTTCTGGGCATCGTGCTGCACAACATGTCTTGCATTTCTAAGCGCTTCACTGTGATATCCTGTGGCTGAACGGGGCCGCGGGGAGGTTTCTCGTGGGTGCCAACTAGGGGGTTGAGCAGGTGTTGGTGATGGGGTCGCAGTGAGCAGATGGGGGGCGACGCTGATCGTTTGGTGCCGATCGCTGGCCTCTGGGCTGCCACTTGATGAACTGCAGACAGACCTGAAGGGCAGATGCGAGGTCTCAGTGAGATGCCAGGCAAACCATTCTGAGTATTGGCGGCGACAGCTTCGAAGACGATTGCATGCATCCTCATAATCATTTATTTAAATGGACTGTAATTTATGATTTTTCAGAATCATGTTACGAGATAGACAGACGTATTCTACTTAGACGTTAAACCGTGCAAGTGCATACAATGTGATCTTCTCTAAATGTGGTAGATTAAAACAAAGATGCTATGTATACAGTAGAATTAAACCTGAGAATCCATGTAAAACTGCAGCGGCGACACGCAGTGCTGGTTTCTTTCCTCTTTTTAACGGAAACCCAGTCTTCATTCAGTTGCTGAGGCTTTTTATACTTTTTGAATGGCACCCCAATTCAAATAAGTGAAGTGAAGAGTCGTTTTTTGAAGACAGTGTTCGAACAAGTGTTTCCAGTGTGTCGTGTTTTGTTACGTACCTTCATTTTTCTTCCCTTGTAATTAGAGCTTGCTACGTGTTTATTAAACGGAAAGCCCAACAGGGGAGCAGTAAACTTGAGTGATAATGAGAAATGTCTAATCCCACAGGAACCCGACATGCCAGTTCTTCTCAAGCCATCTCACAAAACAAGAATTTTAAATGTAAATATTGTGTATTTGTGTGTGCGCGCACGTGTGTGTATATGTTGTTTGATTTACCTCAGGTTTTGAATCTTTTCAGAAGAATCCCAGGAGTAAGACTTTGTGGGCCTGAGTCCAGGGTCTGAAATGGTGGCCCCTCCTTGAGCACCGGGACCCACACAGTGAAGTGTCACACACTTGTCACTTCTAACATTTGCTCCTCTTCTGTGCATTCAAGTCCTGTATTCTGTGAGGCACAAATGGAGAGTAACGGAAGAGAGTCTGTCTTCTCTCCGAGTTTGGAGGTATCGTAATAGATATGAATGTTGTCCATCGATGACAAACCTAGACTGGCATTTTCATAGACAGTCCGTGATGACTTTTTGAAAGACACTGTTCTGTGGGAGCTAAACCATTTAGCATTCCGGTCTCCTTGTTGGTGTAAGTGAGAAAATCTCTTGTATTTCAAAATATGTTTTTATTGAGAAAAGTGACAAAGGTAAACTAACAGCTCACATTCCCAATTTCAGTGGACCAGTTCATCAGAAACTCTCAAATATTCTTCAATGTGTAGTGGTCTGTAGATGCTCATGAAGAAAGATCTACTGGCGTTAAATGGTAAATTCCTATACCAGAATGTGTGTGCATTCGGAAATAGCTATGAGTTTTACAGTTCTCTTCTAATTTCTTTTATGGAATTCATGAAGCAAGTGTATTTGAAAGCTCAAAGTAGAAATTAGGTTAAAATGCCATTTTATTGTGTAAGCTATTGGGCATTATACAACAAATAATCTAGGATTTATTTGGTATTAATAATTTAGGTATCATATTAGCTGAATACTATCCTCTATTACGTAACATAATATACTGTTTGGTTAGTGTCAACTTCTCAAACTCTGCCAGGCTGCCGTAATGCATGTCTGACCTAATTTCTATTCCTCTTGGAGGAAAAAAAAAAGAAAAACTCACAAAAATGTTGCATTAAGAATGCTACATTTCAAATGGACTTTTACCCTTGCAATTTTCAGCCAGGCCATATTTAACTTAATTTTGTGAATGATATCTACATCTGTTTATGTACAGTAGGAAATGACTGGCCCTATAGTGCAGTGCGTCCTAGAGTTCTATGTGTTAAGTAGGTTATATATAGACACTAATGTGTGTGACGATACAGCGCCCTGTGTTTCTTAGTGCAAAGCCGTAGAGTAAAAATGTCCACGTAACTTAAAAACGACCCCATGCTAGAGCCGCAGTTAAGCAGTGCGACGTCAATCGGCTCTGTGATAGATTCTTGACTTTACAGTTGAAGGTAACGAGAACACCCAAACCAGGATTCTTTGTGTGAATCTTACTGACATAAGAAATACTGTTTAAATGGACTCCGCCTGTAGTTATTCATGCACTGCTCGTTAAGGTGTGCATTTGTGCACACGTGTGTGTGTGTGTGTATGTGTGTGTGTTTCATATCTCAGCCTGCAGATAGAGTTTTCCTGGACTTGATGTTTTCATGATAGTTGGCATCCCCTGCTCTCTGGCCTCTTCTGGCATTTACCCATGACACTAACAACTCCTCTGCCCCCTGTGACCAAAGTCCAGTGACACAATCAACCAGACATCATAGTTGTGCATCAATGAAAAAGTCACAACCGAAAGCACAGTGTCTGCTGGCCTCATTTCGGACGAGAGTCCATTGAGGCCACAGAGCCGTGTGGCAGCTTGTAATTCTGCAGCAAAGAGGAGACGAGAACTTTGCACTGTAGTTTTCTCTTGCTCCTTCCTAGGCCTGTTGACATCTCTACTGGGCTATGATCTTTTTGAGGGTGGATGAATACCCTTTATTAACTCAGCTCTTGCTTTAGGGTTTTTTTTTTTTTAATATATATATTCATTTTCGTTAGCATCTACCTCTCTGGGAAATGACAGGAGGGTTGATTTAAGGAAAAGTATAGACATTTAAGAAAAACAATGCGATGTGAAGATTTGAAATTGCAAACCATTGGTTCCCCCCCTCTTATGTAAAAGATACTGAGTGTTGTGTAAATAGTAAACCTTAAGAAGCATGAATTTTCATCTTTATTAACGATCTTGACATAAGCAAGAGAATGCTTAACGCGTTAAGTAGAGCCAAGTATGCTATCAGAACAGCATTGTCTTTGGAAAATTTTTGTGTGTTGACCTAGGGCATAAGTTGTGATGAAAGGGCAAATTGGTTTTTGGCTCTGGTCATAGTTTATGATTAGAAAGCTAAAAGGTATTTTCTTTAAGAATATAATTAAGTTTAATCTTGCACATGACTTAAGAGTAGGTCCCTTGAAGGTTAAACCGTGTGCTGGTGCAGCCTTTGAGATCTAGTCTATTCAGTGGAACTTTATCTGATGACAAAAATGGTTTATAACCTCTGCTGTCCAAGATAGTAGCCACCAGCCACATTGGCTAGTGGCCAGTTGGAATGGGGGGAGTACGACTGAGGAGCTGAATTTTGTGTTTTATTTAATTTTAAGTTATTTATAAACACAGTCACTCATATATGGCTAGTGGCTACCATAGTGGACAGTGTAGTTCTGGAGGGGTGTGCAATGGGATCTAGCATCAGAGTGTTACTAGAGTAACAGAGTAAGGCTAAGAAGACAGTGTGTGGTTTAATAACATGCAGTTAGTTAAAAAATTCCATTCTGGGCTTAAAAAGTATATGATCTCAAGTATGACAATAAAAATTCACTGATTGCCTTTAGGGGTTGTTACTTACATACTTTGGGCCAAAGAGTGATCAGTGATGCTTAAAAAGTGCTTTACGAAGCCCCTTCTCTGGGATCCTTAGCTGCATGTGAATCTATTGTCCAAAAATAGTAGTTAGACAATAGCTGTAAAATGTTTGACTTGCAAGCTATGCATGATCTGTACTGTGAAACTGTGTTTAGGGTCTTATGTCCAAAAAGTAAACGTTACAGGGGAAAAAAAAAGTCAAATGAAATTCCTCTTCACCTCCATCATCTTACCCAAACTTCTCACTGCATTAGTAAGGTGTGAAATGTTGTAAGAGCAAGCATGTTTTGCAGTGTTCATAGAGGGTTTCCGTTTGCCCTTGAAGTCTGCCAGCTTGTCACTGTATTTGATGTGGGTGTATGTGGACATCCTTTTTCAGCTGCCAGACTAAAACATAGGTACGATTTTAGAGTGAGATTTGACACTTTTAGTCTCTTTGGTTTTTCCCTTTGGTTATCACTGAACGAATTGAAAATTTGCAGCCCTGCTCAAAGACTTTTTTTTTTTACATTAAAAAACATTGCCCATGGAACTTAAAGACTTGAGGGTTATTAGAATGACTAAAATTGCTTTTTACATGAGTAGAGGAAAGCCAAAAATTCAGCCTGAGATATACTTTTGTAGAAAGATGAGACTCTTCCTGATATTGTAGAAAGATGAGACTCTTCCTGATGGTATGGAATTTATTCCAGTCTAGATTTTATAAACACTGCATTTGTTTCGACTGAGCAGAATTGGTGAACTTTTTTTTCCCTAGAACTCATCCATGGGCATGACTGTTCTCTTTAGCTTGGTTTTTTGCCAAAATGTAGTTTTTCTTTAGATTTAAGAGGAACTTAGATGTCCAAAGGCTATTGATATGAGGAGCAATATCAAAAAGTTTTGAATTTCTATCTTCTCTTAGAAGAAAGCTGCTGCCAGCCAGTCACTGTTTTGTTTCTGGTGACACAAAAGTCACCAGTCAGTTGTCCTTAATCTGAAAGGGAAGACCATTCCTTGCCATTTCCATCGTTAACCAGTAAGACATCACTTACAAGGTAACCATTACCAAAACAGAAGCTCCAAAGAATTAAGTGATGAAGACCATTCGCAACTATATTGAAAATGGCAGTCTATTTCAAAAGCAATTGAAGATCAGTTAAATTTTATTAAGCATGAACTACTTCTAAAAAACATAAGTGGAAATTCAAGCCATTGATTTATTTTTCTGACATGATTCACTGTATAGAGATATATCTATATCTACATATGTAGGTATAGACATATATGTAGATACACACACAATTTGGCTGTAATGGGAGTTAAAAATCAAGTAAAAATGTTATTAGTCATGTCTTCCCATTTGTGGGTTATATGATGTTGAATTTAGATGTTCATTTCTTAATGCAATGCTGTAGGCTACATACATTGTATCAAACCAACCACCTTTGGGAATGTCTAGAAATAAACCCTTGAGACTTTTCAAATATATGAAGAGGTGGGTTCTACTGTATACATTTTATTGGAAAGCCATTGATGGTTGAAGAACATAAGCAGGTAGGGTATTTAATTTCTGTCTCCCAAATGCCTTGTTTTTTTGGCTCTACTCAAGCATCATGGCAGGGTGAGGGGTGGGGGGGCATGTACCATTATTCCTGAACTCTTACAACATGGCTCCTATTTCTCTGCACAGGTTTCCTTGCCCAGTTGGGCCAATGGAGTTTTCTTTTCTTCTCTTTTTTTCATTTTTTTTTTCAGGATTCACTGCCTGGGGTATCCCACTATGTATCTCTCACTTATGATGTAGTGGTGCTTGAAAACACTCATCTCGTTAGTTGGACTTTATTATTCTAGTCTAAGATTTTTGATACTATTCATATTATGATCTTTATAGGAACAAATCAGTAAGATTTGGGGGAAAGTACAGAGGAGTCTCTCAAAGTCTGTGACAGCATGTATTTTCTTTGTTTTTCTGGAGGTGCTCTCGTAGCTGTCCCTGTTCTTCTAGAACACTGCTCTAAATTCATTATCGCAGCATGTAGGGCTAGTAGCTCATGTGAAAGCTTTCTGTATTCTTCCTGTGAGTTACTGGGTTATTCTAACAAGGGTTTTCAAAAGGGATGTTCAGTTCTTAATTTGACATTTGCTTTTTTGAGAAT